CCCCTGGCTAGATCTTAACAGCCGGGTAGGCTCATATGGAAGGAGGCGGTCCTTCAAGTATCCAGGGCCCAAGCCGTTTAGGGCTTTATATGTCAAAACAAGCACTTTGAATTGGGCCCGGACAGCAACTGGTAACCAGTGTAAATTATACAGAATCGGCTTGATGTGCTCTCTGGCAGCCCCACCACTCACCAGCCGCCCAGCTTGATTCTGAACCAGTTGCAGTCGCCGGACCGTCTTCAAAGGCAGCCCCACGTAGAGCGCATTGCAATAATCAATACGAGATGTTACCAGTGCATGTGTAACTGTCATGAGACTCCACTCGTCCTGGTAGGGCCGTAGCTGGTATAATTTCCGCAGCTGAAGGAAGGCACCCTGGCCACCGAGTCCACCTGGGCTTCCAAAGTTAGACTGGGGTCCAGGAGCACCCCCAGGCTACGGACCCTGTCCCTTAGGGGGAGTGTAACCCCATTCAGGGCAGGGAAATGGCCCTCCAACCTGTCCGGCGAAGCACCCACTAACAGCACTTCTGTCTTGTCTGGATTGAGTTTCAATTTATTAACCCTCATCCAGTCCATTATCAGGTCCAGATATGAGTTCAGCACAGAAACCGCCTCACCTGGATTGGTGGAAAAAGAGAGGTAGAGCTGAGTGTCGTCAGCATATTGCTGACTCCTCAGCCCAAACCTCCTGATGACCTCTCCCAGCGGTTTCATGTAGATGTTACCATGCTTGTCTGCTGAAGCAGCAATAGAGTCCTGTGACATTTTCATTATACCATGAGCTTTTTGCAGAATATAGCCTACTTCATTAGATGCATATTTCCAGTGTGTCAGGAACAATATCCTGCTGTTTTCATTTGTTTTGTTTTAGAAGAGGTAGCCATGGTAGTCTGTGCTAGCATATCGGGCAAAAACAGAAGAAAAAAAGTAAATGTATTTATTATTTATTTCTTATATTTTAATGTGAGCTTTTGTGGACAAGCCCACTTCCTCAGACAAAAAGGAGACATTAAAATAGTCTTTAAAGTGCTACAACATTTTGTCTTCTTTAGTTTTCATGTTTCTTTTTTGCCTCATTTGTTTAGAAAGATGGTATCTGTATTTAGTGAGCATTATGAGATTAATGGATTTCCACTCCATCAGTTTACATGTGCTGAAGCAGGCAGAATCCACAAAATCTCATGGTACAATAGATATATTAGGGACCTCCAGTGTGGTTTAGTAGAGGAATTGACTAGGACTGAGGAGGTCTGGGTTCAAATCCCTGTTCAGCCATGGAATCTCATTGGGGATGTGCAACGGGTAAAACTACTCCTTAAACATATCACTAATAACTTGAAATCCCTATTAGAGTCTATACAAGTCACTTCCAACTTGATGACATGTAACAACATAATAGTCATGTGGAAAAGAAAGTACACCTTTTAATTCTATGGCTTCTCCATTTTGGCTTTATTTTTGTTAAATAAATCATAATGTGGTGTTGTTGTTCATTTGTGGTTGTATTTACCTAATTTTCAGATTTGCTGAGGACCAGGTGATTTTTATTATGTCCTGATAAGTACAACCATAGAATTCAAAGAGGGTCTTTCTTTTTCACATAACTGTATTAGTCTTCAAGGTGTCACAGGATTGTATTTCTTATTTCAGATCAGGAAATAATATTTTCCCCATGCCATCTGTAGCAAATATCATATTTCCAGATTTAATTCAGCTTCTTAAATACCACAATTACTTTGTTTGACTTCTTGATTGCTGGCCTCATTCTTCATGCAAAATTCAAATTTCATAGCTTGGTTCAAGTAAGCACTTACATCTTTGCTGTGGAATTTTCACTATTAACTAAAAGAATAACCAAATTTTATATAATTCTTTGACAAAAGATTGGTACTGATCTGTATTTTTCAGGAGCCAGAATTGGAAGATTCTGATATTAATACCATGTTGCTGGTCCACTTCTTTGGAAGAAGAGGGAAAGAAAAGCTTCAATATTGTGAATTCCACAGGTAGTGTTGTAAAAGTAGTTAATTAACGCCTAGTTGTCTACCCAATTTGCTCTGTGTCATCCAATCACAAGTCAGCTATTGCAAATCAATATGTTGTCTTACGTGGGTATGACATCCAAAGATATGTAAATATATATACACCCACCTGCTTATATATATGTATGTGTTTGTGTTCACACACATGAACAGATAGAGAATTATTTTTGTCAAATGGATCCCAAATACTTTTACATACTTGCTGTAGTATCAACACAGCATTCTGACTAATATATCTCCACAGGACAATTTCCAACTTTGGATACATCCACAGTAATTTTTTATGTATTCACAATATCTGAGTGCAGAAGGCTCAAATCACTCATGTACCATATAATAATTCCATATTTTGACATCCATTAGAAGAGGTAGAACCTAAAGTCACAAGTGTACAGAACTCCAGTAGCACAGGTCCATATAGTATTGGTTGTTCTTTGGTACTTTGCTAGCTAGTCAAATGTGTATTATATATTTATATTCATTATGAGTAGACATAAATGTTGCAAAACATAATGAGGGGAATTTGGCTGTCTACAATGTAGGTCCTATACAACTGACTGTTATGGTATTCAGTGACAATATTTTACAACATCAAGAAAGAAAGCTGTTCAATATGTAACATAAGGACCACAGTCTGACAGTAGCCAACCAGTCTTCATATCAATACCTCTACCTGCAAAGATGTGTCCTACATATGTTTTCCATAGAGAGGACGGTGGAATAAGTAATATGAAAATCTTCTCCTGGACCACAAATACTGTGCCATAAGTTTCCTTAAATTTGCATTCCTCAAAAGTGTTTCAGGCCTAGTTTTAAAACACAGTTTTGTACATGCATATCTCTATTAAGCAGGATACAGGTTTGTAAGGATTGAATTTTTTTAATGGTCTGGTTTGAACCCACAAAACAGAAACAAAATCCAGAACTGATAGGCAAGCAGTACCTCTGTTAAGACCAACCAAAATTCCATGGGGCTGTGCAAACTTAGTTCCTATAGCTGCCTTTCCAAATCTCAAGTCTTCTTTGGATTTCTTGAACAATTTTTATGTCTTCATTGTTAATACTACAGTTATGTAATTCTTCCATAAACATGATTTTATCTTCCTATTACTACAGCACTGCTTTTGCACTTTGTTCTTTTACCCTTACTAGTTGTTTCACATTGTTGCCTCTTTCTGTTGGTAATACGTTGTCATCTGCATATTTTAGATTATTGATATTCCTTCCACTACTACTTCATCTGACTCTAATCCAGCTTTTCATATAATATGTTCTGCATGAAGATTGAACAGATAGGGAAATATATTGCACATGTTCTGACACCTTTGCTTATGGGGAACTATTGATTTTTTCCGTACTCTGTTCTCGCACAGCTTCTTGTCCAGAGTGTAGGTTTCATATCAGAGCAATCAAATGTTGAGGCACAACATTTCATTTAGAGAAATCCATGAATTGCACAGAGCAATTTCTTCTGAAATTCTTTGATATTCTCCAGTAAACAACTTACATTAGTGAAATGATTTCATATATGGTAAATGTCTTTGAATTAAAACATTGAGCATTACTTTGCTGGCATGAGAGATTAATGTAGTCATGTAGTTATTGCACTTAGCTTCCTGTGTACAGTAGTGCAGACTAGTCATGGAGTCTAGCCTCCTGTAAGCGTTGCTCTCAATATTTCTGACACACTCAAACACCTCACCATGTTAAGGTGTGCATCCAGGCGGAGGGTGCTCTTTGCAATGTAGCAGTATAGCAACGTCGCTATCCGGAAACGTCGCTAAACGGAACGCATTAAATGTCGCTAAACGGAACAAAAAACCCGGTTCTCCCCCAGCCACCCCCTCACCCCCCGTCTCCGAAGCCCCCGCCGGTCAGCTGGGGGAAGGGATGGCTTCCCCCCCATCCTCCCGAAGCCGGCATTTTCACCCAGCTCGAGAGGATGTGGGGGAATCCCTTCTCCCCCCCAACCTCCCAGAGATGGCATTTTCGCCCAGCTCGGGAGGATGGGGGGGAATCCCTACCCCCCCATCCTCCCGAAGCCGGCACTTTCGCCCAGCTCGAGAGGATGGGGAGGGGAAGCCCTTCCCCCCCCCATCCTCCCGTAGCCGGCATTTTCGCCCAGCTCGGGAGGATGGGGGGGAATCCCTTCTCCCCCCCATCCTCCTGAAGCCCGCATTTTCGCGCAGCTTATCAGCGGGGCTTCGGGAGGAGGGGGGAGAGCGCTTCCCCACGATCATCTGGAAGCGCCGCCGATCAGTTGTGCGAAAATGGGGCGTACGGGGAAAAATTGCAAAGCTATTTTTCCCCATTGAAAACATTGTGATGCAATCGCTTTTGCGATCACAAAATTTTCATCAGTATGCGGATTAGTCGTTAAACGGGACACCCGTTAAGCGAGGCACCACTGTACTTTATGCCATAAATTTTCTACTGCAGCTATAGATATAAATACAGTACAGTATCTTTAACTGGTATTATTGAAGGGAAATCCAATGTCGGGAATACAGTGGTGCCTCGCTTAACGAGCGCACCGCTTAACAATGAATCCACATAGCAATGCATTTTTTGCGATTGCTAATGCGATCACATTGTGATGTTTTAGATAGGGAAAACATCACATTGCGATGATCGGTAAGCGTTTCGCTTACCGATCTTCACATTGCAATGTTTTACAAACAGCTGATCGCGGGTCCCAAAATGGCCACCGGGTCAACAAACTGGCCGCCGCAGCGTTTTCGCGCCCTGCCCTTGCTCACCGGGCGGCGAAAATGGCGGCCGGATGGAGGATTCCCCGCATAGCGGTGAGTTTTTCCCCAATAGGAATGCATTAAACGGAGTTTAATGCATTCCTGTGGGTTCCCCCCCCCCACATAGCGACGAATCCGGATAGCGACGTTAATCCTGAAACGGATTAACGTCGCTATGCGGGGCACCACTGTATTTTAAGAGTGCATCAGTAACCTAACAAGCAGTGCATCAGTGTAATGTGTAGCAAAATCTGTAACTCTTAGTATATACTGTATTTTTCTTCTTGGCTTCCTGTGGGAATGGAACAACAGTATTTATACCTGCTCTATAAAAAGTTTCTCTTGGGTAAGTTTAAAGCAATGCCTTGGTTTTATGTCTTGGTTCTCTGTGGTCTGACATGTTTTGCATGAGTGACAGTATTTATATACTTCCTGGGCAATCCCCAACCAGTAATAATTCAACATTAATATTCTATTAGTTTTTTCAGTTCCCAGAGCAAGATAGTTTATGGACAATCTTTATCAGGAAACTTTTATATTTCTTAGGGCCAACCAGTTATTTGACTGGTTTGAATTCCCAAATATCCATAGTTCTAAACAGTAAATGTCTTTCCAAACAAAATTCCCTTCTTGATCTCAAAAACCTGAATTATTGGATCTGGGAACTTTTCTAAGAAATTCTGGAGTCGTATCTGTCTAAATGTCTTGTTCAAATTCTTCAGATTTTGTAAACTATCTGAAGCCAGACTGTGAGCTCTCACTGTTTTTCTCTTTCTATTGCGCATTTTCCACACAGAAAGCTGACACAGCGTTAGTTTCCATAGCAACTAGGTCTGCTGTTTTTGAGCTCCTCCAGTGCTTGACTGCTAGGGCCTGTTTTGGGACCTACACCATTCTTCTTTCTGATTTTTATCTGAATTATCAATGTTTTCTTTTGTTTCCTCAGAGGAATCTGAATTAATCAGTATCCTAGCAGTTGGACCTATTACATCCTCATCCCATTCCATCACTACTGGATCAGATTGTTCAGAGTTTAAAGCCACTGTATAATCTCCTTTTCTAGTCCTCAGTTTTGTATTCGCTTGAGCCATACACGTTCCCAAAATCCCTTTGATGAGACAGGTCTTTCCCTTGAATTACATCTCCTAAGCTCACTAAATCTTCCTTCATTAAAGAAATTCCTGATTCTATGTCCAAAATTCCAATATATTTCTGACCTCTGACTTCTGCCAATTCTGACAGTTCATTGTTTAACTGAGGAGCATTTGGGACTTGTATCCCACATAAAATTACTTTTTTGTGTGTTTTCCAACACTTCATCTGTTTTTTTCATGTTTGTGTGAGTCATTATCAAGCTTTTTCTCCTCAAACCTTTCTGAAAATGTCTTCTGAATTTCTTTAACTGTTTCACTGAATGCCTTGGTAAAGTTGGTCCTCCTTGAGGATTAGCGCATTGAATCATCAAATGTCCTTGTTTCTCACAATTATAAAACACTCTTTCCTTAATAGTTTGACTTGGACTCTTAAATATTCCCTCAGGTTGACCTTGCTAAAATGTCCATTTTGTCCAAACGGGATTTCTCTTTTATTCTCTTCTCTCTAAGGAATGGGCCTGAATGGAGGTTTAAATTCAGTTTTCCTCAAACACCTTTTATTCCAACCACATTTGTTTAGGGACTGTTGATCAGCAAATTCTGTTGCTTCCTGTACAGTTTGTAGGATTTTATCTTTTACAAGGAGTTTTGTTTTCTTACCACCAGATGAATCACCCAGTACCTTAGGTATCTGACTGTGGAGTCAGAGGCTGGTAATTCAGTGCCCCATTGTGCCTTCCGGGGAAAGAGCCAGCCTGTGTAGTCGTGGGCAAGCTGCGCAGTCCCAGGATGTCCCAGAAGAAGGGAATGGTAAACCACTTCTGAGTACTCTCTACCTAGAAAACCCTGAAAAGGGTCACCATAAGTCAGAACTGACTTGATGGCACACAACTATGATTATTGTTGTTTGTTTACTTGGGCAATTGGAAAAGCAGTTATTAAATCCTTTAATTTCTTTATCCTGTTCCCTTCAGCTCTGGAAGTCTACTGCTCCAATAAATCACTCAGTTTAGAACCAAATTCAGTAAAGGGCATTTCAAGGACAAACTTGCAGTGTCTCAGACATTTTTTCCTAAAGAATTCAGGCCTCAATTTAAGACTGGTAAACAGAGAGGTTTTA